CCCCCCCAGGCCGGTGGGGAGGAGAAGCGGGGGGTCCCCAAAGTGGGGGGACAGGACGGTGGGGAGGGCGGGGAGACGGGAGGTTGTGGTTTGGGAGAGGGGACGCGCTGCGGGACGGGAGGGGGTGCGGGGAGATGGGGGTGCAGGAGAGAGATTTGGGGTGCAGGAGAGGTTGGGGAGGTTAGGACTGGGTTCAGAGCTGGGATTTGGTGTGCAGTGCTGGGGTTTGAGGGGCAGGGGAGGCGTGGGATGCAGTCCTGGGTGCGGAGCTGGGATTTGGGGTGCAGGGAAGGTTTAGGTTGCAAACACAGGATTTGGGGTGCGGGGGGAAATTTGGGCTTCAGGGGGAGATCTGGGGTGCAGAGGGAGATTTGGGGTACAGACGGAGATCTGGGGTGCAGGTGGAGATTTGGGGTGCAGACACAAGACTCCGGGTTCGGGAGTAGATCTGGGGTTCATCCCCTGAGGTGCAGGGGGAGATTTGGGGTGTGGGAGGCGATTTGGGGGTGGAAAAGGAGATTTGGGGCACACACCTGGAGGTGCAGGTGCCCCTCCCTTTCCAGAGGCCAGGCACTGCCACGTGGCAGGTCTGGCCCTGGCCCAGGTGGCTTCCACCTGAGGAGTTTCACAGCCAAACACACCCCTTTTTGCCCAGAAACGCAGAAATTTCCCCCAAAAACCCTGATCCCACTTACCTGGGGCGTGGGCGATGCTCGTGGCTGCCCACACCAGGGTGGTCCATGCCGAGGTGATCCCAGCTTGTCCCCCCGGCTCCTCCCTGCAGGGTTTTGGCCATGACGGAGGTGACCAAGCGCATCCTGGTGACAGGTGGCACCGGCCTGGTGGGCAGAGCCATCGAGAAGGTGGTGGCCGATGGAGAGGGGCAGCCGGACGAGGAGTGGATCTTTGTGTCCTCCCGAGACGCCGACTTGACGTGAGTTGAGGTTTTCCCTTGGAAACCCCGGAATTTGCTCTATCAACCCCCAAAAAAACCATCCCTGCACTTGGTTTTTCCTTGGAAACACCCCCATCTGCTCTGGTGACCCCAAAATTTCCTATCCCTGGATTTGGTTTTTCTTTGGAAACACCCCAGTCTGCTCTGGTGACCCAAAATTTCCTATCCCTGGATTTGGTTTTTCCTTGGAAACACCCCAGTCTGCTCTGCTGACCACAAAATTTCCCATCCCTGGATTTGGTTTTTCCTTGGAAACACTCCAGTCTGCTCTGGTGACCCCCAAAGTTTCCTATCCCCGGATTTGGTTTTTCCTTGGAAACACCCCAGTCTGCTCTGATGACCCCAAAATTTCCCATCTCAGGATTTTGCTTTTCCTTGGAAATGCCTCAATTTGCTCTGTCGACTCCACCAAATCCCAAATTTTCCCATTCCAGTGTTTGATTTTTCCTTGGAAACAACTCGGTCTGTTCTGTTGACCCTGATAAACCCCAAAATTTCCCATCCCAGCATTGAGTTTTTCCTCAGAAACACCCCAGTGTGCTCTGTTGACCTCACCCAATCCTAAATTTTCTCATCCCAGAATTTGGGTTTCCCTTGGAAAGACCCCAGTCTGCTCTGTTGACCTCACTAAACTCCAAATTTTCCTATCCCAGGATTGGGTTTTTCCTTGGAATGGCCCCAATCTGCTCTGGTGACCCCAACATTTCCTATCCCTGGATTTGGGTTTTCCTTTGAAACACCCCAGTCTGCACTGTTGACCCCACTGAATCCCCAATTTCCCCAAATTCCAGGATTGGGATTTTCCCTGCAAACAGCCCAATTTGCTCTGTTGACCCTGACAACCCCAAAATTTTCCATCCCAGAATTTGGGTTTCCCTTGGAAAGACCCCAATCTGCTCTGTTGACCTCACCCAATCCCAAATTTTCCCATCCCAGGGTTGGGTTTTTCCTTAGAAACTCCCCAGTCTGCCCCCACCAAACCACACATTTCCTTTCTAAGGACTGGGTTTTTCCTCAGGAACACCTCAATTTGCTCTGCTGACCCCACTGAATCCCAAAATTTCCCATTCCAGGAGCAGCTCCGAGACCAAAGCCCTGTTTGAGAGGCACAAGCCCACCCACGTCATCCACCTGGCTGCCATGGTCGGAGGCCTCTTCAAAAACATCCGCTCCAACCTGGATTTTTGGGTGAGCACCCAGGGAATTGGCACTGCCGGGATCCCTGTGGGTGCTGCACTCCCTAAATTGGGATATGGACATACAGGGATGTGGCTTGCTCTGCTCCCAGAGCCAAACCAGAGGTCCAGTGGTGTCTGGAGGTTTTTAATGAGTTGTTGTGAAGGGATCTGGGGATCCCCAGCTCCACGATCCTGATAAATGTCCCTTTTCCCAGAGGACAAACATCCACATCAACGACAACGTGCTGCACTCTGCCCACGAGCTGGGAGTGCAGAAGGTGGTCTCCTGCCTCTCCACCTGCATCTTCCCAGACAAGACCACCTATCCCATCGATGAGACCATGGTGAGAATCCCCATTCCCACACAAAATCCAGGGAAATCCAGGGAAAACCCCTCTCCTGCTTAATTTATCTGCTCTGATATTCCCAGATCCACAATGGGCCACCTCACAGCTCCAACTTTGGCTACTCCTACGCCAAGAGGATGATTGATGTCCAAAACAGGTGAACTGGGGACATGGGAGCACAGCCTTTGGTTTTCAAGGCAAGGGGAATCCAGTGGGAATTCCAGGTGGAAGTTGGGGAGGTACCTGGGCTCAGCAGGTGAAGGTCCTGCTGGCCATGGTTTTTTGGGGGCACATCAGTGCTGGAGGAAGGGGCTTGACAGCCCACCCACCATCCCTTCCCTGCTCTCATCCAGGGGTTATTCCGAGCAGCATGGCCGACGCTTCACCGCCGTCATTCCCACCAACGTCTTCGGGCCGCACGACAACTTCAACATCGAGGACGGCCACGTCCTGCCAGGGCTCATCCACAAGGTCTACCTGGCCAAACGTGAGGGTGGCAGGACTTCCAGGGATTTTCTGGGGAGAAATGAGGGGTTTTTTTGTCTCTCACCTGCTTTGTGGGGTGGTTAGAGGTGGCTCTGGTGGTCATGGCTCCTTCCTCCTTCAGAATCCGGCTCTGCTCTGACCGTCTGGGGAACGGGCAAGCCCAGGAGACAGTTCATCTATTCCCTGGTAGGTGTGGCCTTGGGAAGCAGGGAATGGGGCTGGAAGACGCACTGTCAGCACCCCAGAGGGGTCTGAACCCCCCTGGCTTGTCCTGGGACATCCCCAGAGTTGTGTCCCCTTGGGATGGGAGGACTGGGAGATATCAGTGACCTCTCCAGGAGTTGTCTGCTCTTCCACAGGACCTGGCACGACTTTTCCTTTGGGTGCTGCGGGAATACGATGAGGTGGAACCAATCATTTTGTCAGGTAAGCCCTGGCTGTCCCCCAGGAGTCTCCTCTCCATGAGGGAACAGCCACAATCCTTCCCTTCTCCACAGTGGGAGAAGAAGATGAAGTCTCCATCCGGGAAGCGGCAGAGGCCATCGCAGAGGCCATGGAATTCAGGGGAGAGCTCGTTGTATCCTTCACAAAAGTCTAAGCCCCTCTTCCCACCAGCTCCCCTGGGAGATTCCATGATCCAGAGGATCCTTCCCACCCAAGGAGCAAAAGCAAGATGTGTTTTTCCTCCTTAATCATTCCCATCTCAGTTCGACACCACCAAGTCTGACGGGCAGTTCAAGAAGACAGCCAGCAATGCCAAGCTCCGGCGGTACCTGCCCGGATTCCAGTTCACACCTTTCAGGAAAGGTGAGATAGGGGAGTCTCCAGAAGACACCGGGGGTCCTACCCCGTGCCATCAGCCTTGGTGGCATCAAGGTGGTCCATCCTTTCTGGATGAGGAATGAGGGTGGTGAAACGCTGGCACGTGTTGCCCAGGGAGGTTTCTCCATCCCTGGAAATATCCAAGATCAGGTTGGATAGGACATGGAGCAACCTGGTCTCTTGGAAGGTGTCTCCTTGCATGGTGGTTGGATGAGAAGACCTAAAAAAAGTCCCTTCCAACCCAGCCTATCCTATGATTCTCTGACCAAAATCCATTCCCAATCCCCAAACCCATCACGTGATTCTGTGGCTAAAATCAATTCCCAATCCCAAAACCTGTCCCATGATTCTCTGACTAAAATGCCTTCCCAATCATCACATCCATCCCATGATTCTGTGACCAAAATCCCTTCCCAATCCCCCAAACCCGTCCCGTGATTCTCTGACCAAAATCCCTTCCCAATCCCCAAACCCATCCCGTGATTCTATGACCAAAATCCATTCCCAATCCCCAAACCCATCCCATCTTCTCCCTCCCCAGCCGTGAAGGAAACCTGTGCCTGGTTCAATGCCAACTATGCCAACGCCAGGAAGTGACGGCACTGGGACCACCTGGCACCGGGATCATCCTCTTCAACTCAGGGTTGTCCTTTGCTGGGGCAGAGGACGGGGCTGGGTGGGGGGTGACAGTGACATTTCCAAAGTAAAAATGGGAGCCTGGGGAGCAGCTCCCACATTCCTGCCCCACTGCTGGGAGCGGCGCAGGACGCCCAGGGCAGCGGGGAGGAAAGTTGGGGCATCCCAAAAAGATCCCAAATCAAGTGGTAGGAGCCAACTGGAGCCATCACCGTGGCTGTGTCCAAGAGGGTGGTGGCTCTGAGCTGTTAATGAGCTACACTAATTACCTGCAATTGGGTGTAATAAAGGGAAGGCAGTCAGGAATCCAGGGCATGGAAATGGCAGCAGGGAATTTGCTGCTGTTCTTGGCACATGGGGATGATCCCACAGCCCCCTATCTCAGGATAGGAATGGGAAAGACTCCAGCTGTAAATGTGGCATTTATTAAAATATATGCAAATAGCATAAAACTGATGGGATAATGAACATCTGCCCTGTACCCACATCCAGTGGCATCCTTAGGCTCCATGTTCTCCACCAGGATCTGCAATAGCCATAAAAAGGGTTAAAACCCCTCAGGGAGGGGGTGGAGGGTCAAAAACGGGGGGATGAATCCATAGCCAAGTTACTGCCGGTGGTGTGGATGTGGCAGAATTCCAGACCGGGAATCGCTTTCTTCCGGCATCGCTGTCCAGCCCTGGTGAGCCCCTGGCACGGGGACCTACAGAGGAGACACCCATCAGCACCCCAGGAAGCCACCAGCAGCAGGGTCTCCCCCTGAAGTGACACCAAGCCATGGAGAAGGGACATTCTGGGTGGTTGGTGCTCACATGTTGGCTCTTGGGCTGCAGGGTTTGGGCTCCCAGAGCTTCCCAGCATCCATGACCGGCTCCAGTGTCACCTGGTTTGGGAAGAAGAGGGTTCCTGCAGATGTCCCCTTGTCCCCTGGGGTGCCTTGGCCATCCTTCAGGACACCCTCTTCCACCCCAAATTCCTCCCTGTGTGTCATGTCCCCAGCCCTGTCTGTCTCTCAAGGGGTTGTCCCACACCCAGCGGTGCCACCATGGTGAGGACACCCCAACCTTGGAGGACCTGACCCTCAGGGAGACCCAGCTGGCCCCCAAGAGCAAGTTTTGGGGGACAACACCAACATGGGGACATCCCACCCAGCACCTTACCTCACATGAGCTCAGTGTTGTCCTCTGGCCACCGGCGTCGGGTGACACCTGCCCTGTGAATTCGGGAATGTCCCTGGCCACCTCTTGGGGCTGCTCCAGGTGTGAGGGCTCTGCAAGAACATGGCAGGGGTGGAGATACCCTCCCACTGCTCCCAGGTAGAGGATGGGGACATTCTGGGGTGGTGACACATGCCCTGGCAGAGCTTGGGGACACTCTGGGATAACACACATCCCAGCACAAGATGGGGATGTGGATCTGTGGGCTTTGGATCTGTGTCCTACAGCCATCACACCTCCCACCTTGTGGGCACCTCTCATTTTGCAGGCAGCTCATCTCCATCCTGTCCAGCTCCTCTTTCAGCAGCTCCACATCGCATTCCCTGTGTGGGAAGAAGGAAAACCGGACTCCTGTCACCTTGGTGGCTTCTGTGTCACCACCACCATGGAGACATGCACCTCTCCACACCCTTCTCTGAGCAGAAATAGATCAGGGAGGTGGGAAGAGGTACCCAAAAGCCATAGGAAAGCCATCAGGATGTATCCTGTCCCTTCCTGGAGACCTCTGCTAGATGGCTCCAGGATGGGACACCCAGGGATGTGACATTGAGCAGAAACAGGACATGGAGTTGGGATGAGATGCCCCAAAGCTACAGGAAAGCCATCCAAGACGTGTCCTGTCCTTCCCTGGAGACCTCTGCCAGATGTCTGCAGGGTGGAACATCCAGGATGGGAAATCCTGGATGAGGCACCAAGGATGGGACATCCAGGATGGAACATCTGAACAGAAATGGTGCAAGGAGTTGGGATGAGGTGTCCAAAAGGGAAGCCACCAAGCTGTGTCCTGTCCTTCCCTGGACACCTTTGCCAGATGTCTGCAGGGTGGAACATCCAGGATGGGAAATCCTGGATGAGGCACCAAGGATGGGACATCCAAGATAGATGAACAGAAATGGTGCAAGGAGTTGGGATGAGGTGTCCAAAAGCTGCAGGGAAGCCACCAAGATGTGTCCTGTCCCTTCCTTAAAACTTCTGCCAGATGGCTCCAGGGTGGAACATCCAGGATGTGAAATCTAGGATGAGGCACCAAGGATGGGACACCCAGGATGGAATATCTGAACAGAAATGGAAGGAGTTGGGATGAGGTGTCCAAAAGGGAAGCCACCAAGATGTGTCCTGTCCCTTCCTGAGAACTTCTGCCAGATGTCTCCAGGGTGGAAAATCCAGGCTGGAAGATCCAGGGTGGGACCCAGCAGCTCCCCAGGGTTCCATGCCACCTCCTCAACCATCTCCTACCTCTCCGGGGTAGAGGTGAGCCGGTACCGAGCCTTTTCCCGGGGAACCACTGGCCGGATCCTTCCGGCACCACGGCAGGCGGATGCCACCCAATGCCCTGTGGGAAAACGAGAGGGTGGGAGAGGACAGAGCCCTCCCCACAGGGTGGTCTGTCCCCCACCACTGTCCCCACACTTGTCCCCACCTGCTGCAGCAAGGACCAGGAGAGTGAAGATTGCTGGAATGCCGAGGGCGCTGGAAGCGAGGAAGAGGAGGAGAAGGATGGTCTGGAATGGGGCCGGCACCAGCGGGAGAACCAGGAGCATGAAGAATGAGCCATGTGGGATGCAGGAAGAGGTGACACTTTGGCTCTGACCTGTGGGACGGGGAGGAAGAGCCCGGTATTGGCACCCATCAGCTCCCATGGATCCTCCAGCCCCCATTCCCACTCACCATCCAGGTCAGGGATGGCTTTGAGGTACTCCAGGTGCTTTTCCAGCCGGCTTCGTGCATCTTCCAAGGCCGTCAGCATCAGCTCCAGGCTCTGGTTGACCCTCTGCAGCTTCTCCATCACCTCCTGAAGGACCAGGATGCTCTCTGCATACAGCAAAGATGGAAACAGCAGTGGGATGAGCTGGGGAAGATGCACCCTGGTGTGAAAAAAGCTGGGAATGGGATTCACCGTGTTCCCACCTGGTTGGGGATGAACATCCTGAGGTCTTTCCTGCTCCTGATGGAGGTTGGATGGGACAACCTGGTGTCCACCCCGGAGCTCTGCAGCCCAACGGCTGCTCAGGTTCCCTGTGGGGTGGGAAAAGAGGTTGGATCAGTGCCAAAGTGGGATATGGGAATGTTGCAGCATCCCAACCCTGGCTCATACCCATCTGGTGGGCGATGTCCTGCACGAGCTGGGCCACGGGGGTCTCATCCAGTGCTGACCTCATCCAGGTCTCCCAGAGTTCCTCCTGAGGTGAATATTTGGGGGGTGATGATGGGGGAATGCTGGATTTCCCCATGGACACCCCAAATGCACCCCTGGGTGCTCCCAGCACAGGATGGGGAACAGAGGAGGGGTGTTGGGGATGTAAAATATGGAAAAAGGTGTGAGCTCACCCCAGAATTTGGCCTTCACCCCCCAAAAAACCATCCCAAGCAAAGAGACTGCCCAGGATGGGGGATCCCAGAACCCAAATTTCCCAGCCAGAGGGATTCCCACAGACACCGGACAGTAACAGGAGTCCAGGTGTGACACCTCCTGGGATGTGGCTTCATCCTGGAACCGGCTGTCACCCGTGGTTGTCTCGAGGAGGATTTGTGAGGGGAACCCCAGCTCTGGGCGGCGGGAGGGGGGTCCCCACCTTCTCTGGGGGGGCAGCAAGGCCCAGCCACCCCAAAAGCCCAGCAGTGGCGCAGAGGAGCAGCACAGCCCAGGAGCTCTGGAGCAGCATGATGGGAACAGAGGGGGTCCTGTGAGGAAAAAACCCCATATTCATGTACACATTACAAAGCCCCCCCTCCCCAAATTCCAGGGATGCACCCCACTGAAGGAACCTCCCATAATCCCAGGGATGCCAGTGGGTGAGGAGCACCCTGGAGTGGGAAGCAGCTCCCACATCCACCGACAAATTAGGAGACACCCCCTCGGAGAGTCCCCCCCACAAACCCAGGGATGCCGGGGAGCGGGGGACCTCGTGGGACCAGGAGAGTGGGAAGCACCTCCCACATCCACGGACAACTTTGGGGACCTCCCCCACGCCAAATTTAGTCCCCGACCCCCGTGGTGGGGACCCCCTCGCGGTCCCAGGGGTGCCGGGGCTCCGCTGAGCCCTGCGGGGAAGGTTTGGGAAGGGTTTGGAAAGGTTTTGGGAATTCCCTCCAGGACCCCCGCGCGTGCACCTGCGCGAACCACGTGGCGCCGGTGCCTGCGCAGTTCCCCCTCTTTACCCCGTTCACCCCGCCCCTTAAAGGCGGGTCCACCAATAGGAAAGAGGGGTTGGCTGCTCGAGACCAATCAGCGCCGGGGGTGTGGCTTTGGGGGCGTGGCCTCGCGCAGCGATGGAGGCGTCCGAGCTCTGGGTCGGGTTCGTGGGCGCCGGGCGCATGGCCGGGGGGCTCGTCCGGGGGCTGCTGCAGGCGGGTACGGGACGGGGGAGCGACCGGAGGGTCCGTGACACACGGGCAGGGGAAGGGACAGGGGGACAGTCCTGGTCTGGCGCCTTCCCGGCGTCCTGTGGCGCGGGGAAGTGTGGGGGGACATAGGGACAGCGCTGCTCTGGACGCTCCCTGCACTCCCTTCCCTGCTGTCCAGTGGAGGGACATGGGAACAGTCGCGTCCTGACCTGTTCCTAAAGTGCCAGCCCGCCCCCGGCTCCCTGTCCTCCAGCGCAGGGACGTGGGGACAATCCTGTCGTGGCTCGTTCCCAAGGTCCCAGCCCTTCCCCAGGTCCCTGTGCTCCATTGGAGGGACATGGGGACAGCCCTGCCTTGGCCTGTTCCCAAGGTCCCAGCCCTTCCCTGGGTTCCCGTCCTGCACTGGAAGGACGTGGGGACAGCCCTTTCCTGCTGCTATTCCCCGGGAACCCTGCTCTTCCCTGGTGTCCCAGTGCCACAGATTAGTGTGGGGACATGGGGACAGCCCTTTCCTGCTGCTATTCCCCGGGAACCCTGTTCTTCCCTGGTGTCCCTGTCCCACAGATCAGTGTGGGGACATGGGGACAGCCCTTTCCTGCTGCTCTTCCCTGGTGTCCCTGTCCCACAGATCAGTGTGGGGACATGGGGACAGCCCTTTCCTGCTGCTCTTCCCTGGTGTCCCTGTGCCACAGATCAGTGTGGGAACATGGGGACAGCCCTGTCCTGCCTCTCTCCCAACATCGCTGTCCCACAGACAGTGAGAGCACAGCCCTGTCTCTGCTCCCCGTGTGTCCCAGATTGTCCCTGTCCCATAGCACGGTGTGGGGACAGCCCTGCCCATTAGGGCCACCTCCATTGTCACTACACCCTGACACGACTGGTACCAGCCACACCAGCAGCATCCATCCCCAGCCCCCTTCGGCCCATGCCCCCCTTTGGGATCGTGCTGGGATTGTAGGAGTCACATTCTGGTGGAAACTGGGGTGTCTGGGCTGTGCTGGGGTGTCCCCCCAACCCTGGGGCCACCCTGGCCACTCACCCCATTCCCTGTGTCCCCCCAGGGAAGGTTCCAGCCAGCAATGTCCTGGCGAGTGCTCCCTCGGACAAAAACCTGGATGCTTGGCGGGTGAGTGGGGCCAAGGGTGTGGGAGATTTTGGGGTGTCCCAAAACTGTGGGGTCAGAGCACCCTTTCTCCACCCTGGGGTTTGGCTCATCCTTCCCAGATCTGGGTGAGATCCAAGCAGAGCCTCGGTGGCTTTGTGACCAGAGCAGGTCCCCAGGCCATGTCCCTACCTCTGGATGTGCTGCTACCATGAGGGTGCTGGTTTTGGGATGTTTTTGGGCGTTCCAGCCTGTGAACTCTCTCCCTGTCCTGGGCAGGAGTTGGGCTGCCGGACCACGCACTGCAACCTGGAAGTGGTGTACAGGAGCACCCTGGTCTTCCTGGCCACCAAGCCCCACATCCTGCCAGGTGTCTTGGAGGAGATCCGTCCTGCTGTGGGGTCCCACCACATCGTCGTGTCCCTGGTGGCCGGCGTCACCATCCAGACACTGCAGCGGGTGAGACTCCTCCTTCTCCTTTTCCTTCTCCTTCTTTTCTCCTTCTCTCCTGCTCCTCCTTCTCTCCTGCTTCTCCTTTTCTCCTTCTCCTCCTTTTCCTTCTTTTCTCCTTCTCCTGCTCCACCTTCTCTCCTGCTCCTCCTTCTTCTCCTCCTTCTCCATTTCCTTCTTCTTCTTTTCTCCTTCTCTCCTTCTCCTTTTGCTTTTGTTTTCCCTTCCTCTCCTCCTTCTCCTCCTCCTCTTCCTCCCCATCCACCTCCTACTTTTCTCCTCCTTTTTCCTTGTCCTCATCCTGGTCCTCCTTCTCCTTCTCCTCCTCCTCTTCCTCTCCTTTCTTTTTCCTCTTTCTCCTTCTCCTCTTCCTTCTCCTCCTTCTTCTCCTCCTCCTCTTCCTCCTCATCCTCCTTCTCTCGTCCTTTTTCATTGTCCTCATCCTGGTCCTCTTTCTTCTCCTTCTCCTCCTCCTTCTCTCTCCTTTCTTTTTCCTCTTCCTCCTTCTCCTTCTGCTCCTTCTCCTCCTTCTCTTCCTCCTTATCCACCTCCTCCTCTCCTCCTCCTCTCCTCCTTTTTCCTTGTCCTCATCCTGGTCCTCCTTCTCCTCCTCCTCTTCCTCTCCTTTCTTTTTCCTCTTTCTCCTTCTCCTCTTCCTTCTCCTCCTTCTTCTCCTCCTCCTCTTCCTCCTCATCCTCCTTCTCTCGTCCTTTTTCATTGTCCTCATCCTGGTGTCCCCACCTGGCTGCCCCTCCAGCTCCCTCCCCGTGCTCCTCACTTCTCCGCCAGCCTGATGGATGACACCCACCAGTGTCTCCACTCACCCTTGGGTTCTTCCCAGGGCTGGCACCCCTTCTCCCATCCCCGTCTTTTCCCAGCTCCTCCCGCCCTGGACCAAAGTGCTGCGCATCATGCCCAACCTGCCCTGCGTGGTGCAGGCAGGGGCCATGGTTTTCTCCCGGGGCAGCAACGCGGGTGACGAGGAAGCCGCGCTCCTCAAGAGCCTCCTGTCCTCCTGCGGCCTCTGCGAGGAGGTCCCCGAGTCCTACATCGACATCCACACCGGGCTCAGCGGCAGCGGCGTGGCCTACGTAAGCCAGAGGGACAGGGAATGCTGTCCTGGGATTTGGGGTCCCCCCCTTGCTCCTGGCTCACCGCTGGATGCTCCCCTCTTCCCAGGTGTACCTATTTGCCGAGGCGCTGGCCGAGGGCGCGGTGAAGATGGGAATGCCGGGAGCCTTGGCCAGCAGGATCGCAGCACAGACGCTGCTGGTGAGTCCTTGGCACATGCTGGTGAGTCCTTGGCATTGCCCCCCTTCCTTCCTGCCCCACAACATCCACTGGGATGAGGGAGGAGGTGCTGGATGCTGGTCTCCCTCAGTTTCCCCTCTTGGAAGCAAAAATGAAGCCACCAGAAGGGTGAAGGGCATGGCGGTGGGACAGTCCCTCTATGGTTGTGTTCGAGGGTTCCAGGATGAGGGAGGAGATGAGAACCTTGACTCCAATGCTGGTAGGCTGATTTATTATATTATGCTATTATATTATATTAAAATACTATACTAAAACTATACTAAAAAGAATATAAAGGATCCATCAGAAAGCTTGAAAGGAATAGAAAGGAATGGAATGATAACAAAAGCTGGTGACTCGCAGAGAGTCCGAGCCAGCTGACTGTGATTGGCCATTAATTAGAAACAGCCAACATGGACCAATCAAAGATGCACCTGTTGCATTCCACAGCAGCAGATAATTATTGTTTTTCTTTTCCTCTGAGGCTTCTCAGGAGAAAAAATCCTGGCAAAGGGATTATTCAGAAAATATCATGGCGACATTCCCTCACTATGGGGGTATTGGGATGATGATGCCATCCAACCATGGAAAGGGGAATTTGGGAAGTCCCAAATCTGACCTTCCTGGTGTCCTGGTGTCCTGCAGGGTGCAGCCAAGATGCTGCTGGAGACGGGGGAGCACCCGGCGAAGCTGCGGGGGGACGTCTGCACGCCCGGGGGCACCACGATCTACGCCCTGCACCAGCTGGAGAAGGGAGCGCTCCGGGCCACTGTCATGGATGCCGTGGAGGCGGCCACCAACCGGGCGTGTGACATGGCCAAGGACTAGTGGACAAACCCCTTCTGGGACAGGAGGGGTGACGGGGACCAAAGCGAGCTCCTCTGAGGAGCAGGATCCTGACATCTTCAGGAGAACGTGGATGAGGGTGGGAGGTGGTGTGGACACGTGTTACCTCAGCAGGGCTGGAACCAAATAAACGTGGCCAGAGCAATGGGGGGGGTGTGGATTTTTGTGGTTCCTCTGGTCCTGGGGGGCTGTGGAAGCCACCACGGGGTCACTTCCGTGGGGAGGTGACATCCATGATTTCTGGATGCCACGCTGGCTCCGTGCTCACTGGGGACGGTGCTGGCACCCAGGTCACCAAGGACGAAGCTGGTGTGGGATGTGTGGCACTGGGGAGAGACTTTTGGAAATGAGGTGATCCCAATTTAACCCTGCTGGGGCTGGGAGAATGGCTGCATCCCTGTGGTCAGAGCCACATCCATGAGGAGGCTGCCCACATTCCAGAACTATGGGCAAGAGCTCAACCAGCCAAAAAAACTGCACCATGATCCCTCCCTGGCAGCAGGGAATGGGATGGAAGCCATGATCTGTTCCCATCTCCAGGAATATCGAGGGTGTAGAAACTCAAACTTGCCCATCAGGAGAGGATCTGAGCCTTTTCCATGCCCTAATTAAGCTCTGCTTGCCTCCCAGCACCTGCACAGATGCA